AATGAAGTTAATATTTTTATTTTTATCACAAACAGGAATGTACTATTACTCTCTAAGATAATGATTTGAAGACAATTTATATTAATAATACTGTAAGGAGAGAAAATTCTAATTTATTTCATTGAAAATAAAATTATTAATACATAAACAGTTGGTGGATGTGCATTTGCGAATACATGTGAGCAAACTTTATTGGGATTAATTAATATATTATGACTGTTATTTATATATTCTTGAAAAAAAAAAAACATCATAATGTATGGCAGAAAAAATTAGATACAACGTATTATGTTATGATAAATTTAATAAGATTTAATTAATATAATAAGAGAACAGCTGGAATAGTTTTTATATTCTCAATATTTTTAAATGGTGATGATTCAAGAGATATTTTGAGTAGCTTTTATCACATTCTAACTATATTGATGCAATAGGTAATTTTTATATTATTTCTGATTAACTAATAATATAATAATAATTTATAATTCATGAATACAATAAAATAGAATATAGTTGTGTAAGTGTTATATACTTTTTTATTGGGCTAATTTTGGTTTTTGTAGTGATATATATATATATATATATATATATATATATATATATATATTGTTCCTGTATTCAGATAAGAATACAATTTGAATATATTTTTAATTTTTTTTTTTTTTGGCTATAATTGTTTGTTATTTTTTCTTCTTTTGTATTCTATATTTTTGGTTTGTTTCTCTATTAATCTTTTTATTTTTGCTAAAGTTTGCCAAATATATATCAGATTATTGTTATATAGAATATCTGGCTTTTAAATGGGTTTTATAAGTATAATTTAGATCGTTCATTTAAACCTAGATTGAATATAAATAAAAAATATTACAGTTTAAAATTGTCCTATTTGGTTTTTAGTCACTGTTTCCTATTATATTTATTATTACATTAATTTGAATAATAAATTTCAATGGTACAAATTAAATATCTTAAGAAAGTTCTGCAATGTGGAATGCATACCAACAAACCATTTATTTTAACTTAAAGGTATTAAATTGACAAAAAAAAACCAACATGACTTTAAAATTAAGAATATATTTTTATATATAATGATCAGAGGACTTTAGGATGATTACTAATTTGAAAATTATGAGGGGATTCATCTTGTTATTATTTTTTCAACAGAATTTCCCTACCATTGCTTAATACAGTTTATCTCAAACAAAGTGGACAGGGGTTTTAAAAGCTTGAAAATATGGCTCATGAATAGTCTTAATGAACATTAATGTAATGAACATTTATTGGTTATGAATTTAAAACTTAGTTAAATAAATAATTTTTACCACAGTATGATAGATACCAATGGATTTTAAAATAATACATATTTTTGTACTTGGTGCTGATTATTAATGTTCTATACATTATCCTTATCTCTTATAAAATAAATACTTTGATTTGTACAATTATTAATAGTATAAAATGATATATTATTCATTATTGGCATGCTGAAATTATTTAAATTATTAATTATAACAAATTCAACCAGTATTAAAAATAATAAACAAAAGAAATATTGCATACATTTTCATAACATCTGATAAAATAAAACTTTCATAATCATAAATATCCTCGAAATAGTCATAGGATTAAAACATCAGTCTTGGGTTTTTCAAACATTTTTTTCTATAGCAGTTGAGTTCTATAATATGGACAATATATAAAATAATATTGATAATAGCATACTGTAGGGAAACATGTGCCTGATCATATGTATTGCAATAACTGAGAAATTATTTTTGTTTTAAATATTGCATTGAGCAAATGTTTAATATATTAATATAATATGATTCAGTCTATTTTAAATCACAGAAGTTGCAAAATATTGACACAGCTCTAACATCATAAGAATAAATCTTACTGAATTTTTAGTGTCATTTGCATTACTTTGCAGATAATTTATTTCCCATCTCTTGTTGTATAATCATTAACTTCGTTGGTCCTTGTTAGAAACAAAATTGAAATAACTAAACAAAAATAAAATGAAAGGTTTATAATTAGTTTTTACTATGAATGCAATGAACTGAAAAATTGTCAAGTACATTTTATATGCTAACAATAACATACAAATTTATATAAAATGAGTATTATACTTCTTATTTTTGAAAAAAAATTAAGACAAACTTTCTGTATAGTTTCTGGCATACCCTGTTTTTTTCCTAACCATTTTTTTTATTTTTTTATTAAAATACAAATTATTTTTACATCAATAAACTCAACTTCATGTAATATCAAATACAGATACGGCATGCGATTTCTGATCAATATACATAAAATAAAACCTAATCCTAAAATTGCATATATTTTATTTTACTTTGTGATACATTAATGTTTCCCCAAACCTTAAACAATATTTTGAATTTAAAAACATTGGCAATAAAATAAACAAATTACATGACAACAACAAGTATATTAGATCACATAATAAACAAGATAATGATATTAACATTAAATTTTTCCAAATCAAAACAATTCTTATTGTTCACTAAAAATTTAAAAATGATGTGAGGAAATCAATTGTTTACAAAATAGTAAGATAATGTAAACTTTTATATAAAATATATGTTTAAATTCAAATTAACTTTACATTTTAACAAAGCTGAGCTTGCATAGCCTTTGAGGCTTTACTGCATTTTCGCAATGCCAAAATTAAAACTTTTTATCAACATAGATGTTTCTGATTTCCCCAAAATCATTCTATAATTAAACAAACTTATTGTTTAAAAAAATAAAATAGGCTTAATGCACCTCAGCATTGTTGATATAAACTTATTTTACAAAATGTGCATGTGGAAATCTTAGCCAAAATCTTTACAATGCTCTGTGGGGTGTTCACGTACTTGCTATGCATGTGAGTGTTTATACACTCCTATGTACATGCACACTTCTTCACCAATCTTAATTCTTATTCTAAAATATTATTTAAAACATTGAAATATACACAGATAATTTTTTTTATATGTATGTATGCATGTGATCAAGTGTTTTTACTGAAATATACATGAATGAATTCTTTTTCATTAATTTTATGTCCTATATTTTACAATCATTAAGATTATTAACATTTAATAATAGACATTTTAATATATAAGTTTATGCCAAACTGATGTATAGCTTATAATTAGTAAAACAATACAAAAACACATACATAGTTACAAAAACACTGCCACAAACATACATACACATTCTATATTTATGCATATATAAATATTTATAAATGTATATATATATATATATTTTTAAAGATATTTCTTAGAATTAAGAAACATCTTATCTACTAAATAATATTGGGCACTTAATTAAAACAAAAATAAAAACTGGGCAAACTTACCCTTTGGATTGCAACTACCCTCAATAGAACTATTTTACAATTCAACCATAATTAAACCATTTCATTATAAATTTAAGTGCTAATTTATACAAATGTAAAGGGATATCTTGTTACAACAAAGCCAATGTCATGAAAGATAAAAATATATCATTCAATATAAGCTCATTCATTTTTCTCTCTCCTTTATTATCTCACTCACACACTTTAAAAGTAAATCTGCAAAAATGACAGAAACTATCACTTCAGCTCATCTTTATGTCTTTTTTGCAAATATACATGTTCATATATTTTTTTACTTTATTTTTTTAAAAGACACTAAAATTCATGGTTTAGTATGTGTCTGTCAGTCTTATAAACCCTCTTTTTGAGAGTAAAAGGAAATAATTGACTAAATCTAATGTTGACAATTTAACTATACACTACTCAGTCTTATAGTTACATCTGTCTCTTTTAACGAAGGAACAGGCACTTTACACATTCTATATGGCATCTGAATGAAGTTTCCATTATAAAATGTCATTGTTCAGTATTTTCTGTCAATAAACTTGTCAAATAAATAATAAGCTATACCCTATTTATTTGAAATAGTTATATTGTTTTAAGATATATCATATTATGATGCCAATAAAAAGGGGTAGTAAAGATTAATTAGGTTTCTAAACGATAAGTACTAAATGATATATTTTAATTTAGATATAAATCATATGATAAATATAATTTATATGGAATCTTCATTCAGTTTGCTAGTGTAGCATCAATACATTTTTCTTCAAACAATTGTCACACTTAATCACAATACATTTATGAGGTAGATGCTATGAAAAATATCAGTATTTGAAAAAAAATAATAATAATAAACTGATATAAGACATTGAAATTTCATACAAAATTTCAATTAGCTGAGATAAGAGATTTTGACCAATTGCAGATGAAAGGAATGTTTATTATACCTGTTTAAGATATTTTAACTGAAATAATTGTAAGAAGAATAAATAACTTTATATTGATTGTTTTATATATAAATATATGTATATTCCTAGTTTTCTGTTATAAATAAAGTAGATAACAGTATTATAAGAGGTAACACATTAATAGTTTTGTACTAAATAAATGAGGTACTATTATATGAGGTAGTACGTTATAATAAATATATATATTTTTTTTCAATACAGGATCCATCTAACAAAAACAGTTTTAAATTATTATGTCCTGAATATAAGTAACATATATGCTAGTAAAAACAAAAAATATAACTTCAAGTTTAATAACATCTGGTAAATGAAACAGACATAAACTATTTGTTTTTGTTGTGTGTATATAGACTGGAAAATAATTTGCATTTCTAAAGCCCATGAAACATTGAACAAGAAAATAAAAGTGTTAACAGAAGTATTCTTCAAAACATATTTAAATTTAAAAGAATTTGAATGGATCCTGGTTAAAAAAAATAAAGAAAGTGCATTTGAAACTGCTGTCAGCTGATGCAAGTGCTAATAAAAGTAAGATTTATATATAGCTTTATATAACTGGACAACACAAACAGTGTACACAAATATGCATTTAAGCAGTCTCATTCACACAAGCTTGATTGTTTTATCATATTGTATTTAAGAAGCACATTCATTAAAAACCTAAAATTCTAAAAACTTACTTATTGATATTATAATATAAATCAGTCAGTACTATCCTGAGGATCATTTCCAGTTGTTACCATGGCTGTTGCTTGACTCATAGGCGGCATGATGACTCTTGAAGCAGAAGCAGCTTCAGGTTTTCGAGTAATTGAAAGATCTTCTACTTGATTCGAATCTTCTTCAATTTGTTCAGGAGTAGGAGATCTTCGATGAGCATATTTGATCAAATTGGGACTCAAGGGGTGTTCACTCGTTCTTGGACTTGAAGAACTTCTACTATTGTTCTCAGTATTTGTTGCAGCTACCATGGCAACCATTGCTTCTCGTTCAATATCTTCTCTTTTTATATTGTGAGCTTCTAAAGCATGTTGGAGAAATCCGTGATCCATTATGCTTGGAGAATACTTTGTTTCATCTTCCACTCCTCCATAAACCATTGACCCTGTACTCGTTAAACCATAAGGAAAAGCAGCACTACCATTACTACTTGAACTTCGTCGGAAAGGTCTGCTTGTAGTGATACCTAGCTTCTTCACTTTATCATAGAGTGTACGAGAAGGTACACCAAATTTCCTGGCTGCTTGAAGTGCACTCATTCCATTTCTCACTGCTTCTATAGCTGACATAATATCATTCCTAGTATACTGTTTATAACGTTTCCATTCTGGTTTAGGGGTTGGAATATAAGTGGCAATTGCTGAGGAAACTCCACCTGTAATAAAGTAAATATTTATTACTTGATAATTTGTATATATTTTATAAATTATAATGAAGGAATGAGAAATGTACACACATTAGTCTATGGTTTATATGAAAACAATTGATTGGTATTGAAATACATTTCGATGATTAAAAATACTTTTAAATAAATTATTATCAATGGAGAAAATATCTAATATCAAGTAAAATTGTTAGCAAGGAATTCTATTATTACTATTTAACAACTATTAATAGGTCACTAATTTGGTTTGATAAAGTTCTAAATAGGCTAACCCTATATTTAATTTCAGAAAAACAAGTTAAAATTTGATGAGCTACAGATTAGTGCAATACATTATTTATTATAAAAATGAAAAATTTTATCATTTCATTCAAAACTAGTTCTCTCATGGTTAGGAAAGCTTGTGAATCTAAACAGAAATTATTGATTATTATTATTAAAAAATTCTTATGTTATAAACAGTAACTGGATTTCCATGTTGTTGCACAATTAATATAATATTTATGTTTTTATTTTACGGTATTCTAAAAATTAAATTCATTATTCAAGATAGAAAAATATGAAGAATGTAAATTATTCTGTGACAAGCAAAAATCAAATTTAGCATTACAAAACATACCAAACTGAAACAACAAGAAACTGATCAACGTTTCCGATTACTTCAGCACTAACTAGACAAACGCTCTAATCTTCCAGTTAATTACAAAAGACCCATATACATGACTACAATAAGACCTATTTGGACTTACGGAGTTGAGCTTTGGGGCTCCACTAAGCCATCAAATTCCTCTCGTGTCCAATCCTTACAAGCCAAAATCTTTCGTAAAATCCTCAATGCTCCCTACTTTGTTACAAATAAAACCATTCATAATGACCTTAATTTGATAATATTGATAACGATAGAATTTGATAATTAATTAAAGGAGAAATAAGAGATCATAATGGAGAAAAGTTGTAATGTAGGAACCAAAGTAGTAAGAGTGCGCTCGAGTTCGCCCGAAAGATATAATACTTAATTATTCAGACATTATTATGTGCATATACATATGGTTTTTCATAAATGCTATCGTTGATATTATTTAACTGAATAGATTACAGCGATGTAAATATTAAAATTTTTATATATAAAGGTAATTAAACAAATAAAAATACCTACAATGAAATTTAAATAAATATAGCATCTAAAATTATTACTTTCACTTCCCCTTGTCTGAAAATACTTATTTCTGCTAAGAAGACAGCGGTAAGTGAAAGTTATGTAATGCGTGCACCGCACTATATTTTTTGTCTTTTTGACATAACATTTTTATGACCTGTTTGTCTTATATTACATTAAGATCAAGATAAAATATCTATTGCAAGATAATATTCTGGAAAAGATCAAAGTCAAAACAAAAATATTACAACTGATAGAAAAAAACAGTGCTATACTCTGTAATTCACTGAACATCATTCCAGCATTGGGAGTACTATTTGGTATTAAATGATCAGCTGATTGTTTAGAACGACATATTATTCAAAGTATGGCAAGGAGGTAAAGGCAAAGGACTGGAGGGAATGAAAAACAATGTTATTGAGGAGCCACCATAAGACCACCAGAACTAAATATGTTTGCTGGTGACAGCTCAGCAATGGACCTATTGGACTGGTGATGGAAATACTGATGAGATTAAGTGAAAAACAATTTTATCCTAGGTCATGTTTTGACTACAAAACGTTAATTTTGTTACAATCCCTAGCATGTACCAAGCCTTAGCCCCATAAAGAAAGTTTTTCCGAGTTTTTTACAATTTCATTTTGATTTCACTGGATAATAGTTGTGAACAAAATAACTTATAACTTGTGACATATAAACTGTCCTTAGAAACAATCCTTTCACTTTCTATTGTTACTTTGTTTTATTTATTTACTGATGTTAAATATATTAAAAAAAAAAAAAAATGATGACATAAGAATTAAATTTGAAAAATGCAGCCTTTATTATTTTTTAACAATGATTTTTGTTTCACATTTGTAATTATTGTTGTTATGAATTTTCAATATATGCTGAAAAGTTATTTAAGTACTAATGCAATAGAATAATTTAAATGAACAACAATGTATGTATATGAGTCATTTCACAATTATTGATTATGTTTTGTTGTAGAGCTTTTAGGTGTAAGAATTTCTTTTTTTCTCAAGTGCATAAGCATCTATGCCTTCTACAAAACCTATTAATATAAGGTTTATACAATAATCACTATAATATCTATAGTTAATTAGCCAATTTCTCTCTCCCTAGAAAAATCACAAGCTATTAGCCACTGAAATGCCAGTAATAATACACTTACAGTCAGCCACATTTTAAAAGAATGTTATTCTTATATATAAAATTTAACAATTTCAGAACTTACATCCCAATATCAAACATTCTAAAAAATGATGAAAACACATTAAAGTTAGTATTACATTTCCCAAAATTAAAAGTTTCTTTTTTTTATCTAGTTCAGTGATAAACAAAATTAAATATAGGTGTTGTTGACTTCAAAGTTTTATGCCTTATAGCCCCAAAAAACAACAACAAAAAGCTATAAGTTTCTAATTTCAATTAATTTTATGACAAGTATAATCTATCTTTTCAATGTTATCAAATCAAACAGTGATGCAGGAGATTTCTTTTCTTCATATTCTAAGGACAATTTGTCAGTTCAATAGTTTATTTGCACTGATTTATGTCAATCATAAGTATTTTTCCCTCTCCTTAGAGAACTCCCTTAATTAATTAAGAGAACTCCCTTAATTAATCTCCCTAAACTAGGTGGATATTTTTAGTTGTCAAATTACCTCAAAATACTTGCAGTGCTCACTGGGCAAGAAAACCAGAGTAAACCAATTGTTGATACATGTGCAATACAAGCTATACAAGTTCCTCCATTGGTTTTTAAAGACTGTGCACATGTCACTGATATTGAAGTATTTTTATTTATCATTTTCTTGAACCAATCATTGAACTAAGGTGATTGTATAGTAAATTACTTTAGTAGTTTTTGTCAAGAAACAAGGTACAATATCTTTACACTTTCAGTTTCTAAAAATATCATCAACTACTGTGACTAAAAGATCAAAAACCTCTTTTCCTACACTTTATCAATAAAATCCCATTTTGGGAAGAGAGAATGTACCGTGTTGACATAATGCATTTTTGGCTATTATTTAGCTAATATGTCTAGTGCCATGGAATCTGTAAAATTTTGAAATACAAGACTCCTCCATAGAGTTATTCAAAAATACATATTATGCTCTATAGTGCCAAAAATTGCTTGAGACAATTTATCTAATTTTGGTCAGAAACTCTGCCAGATTGGATGGGAGATTCAATTGAGTTTGTTGACTATTTTTGCAATTCCTCAACCAACACACCCACAACTCCTGTCTCTATTCTGATTTTAAAACATCGTTTACATACCATCGTCCTATCAACCTGCTTTTTTCCAGAGCACAAATAAAAAGGAAATAGTGTATTGATTTTGCTAAGTTTGCTGGATAGAAAAGGTATTTTAAAGATGGAGAAGAATGAATAAATATTATCACAGTAAATGGACTGAGAATTTTCGAAAACGCAATGAGTCAATTTGTAATTAAACAACATTTTATTAGGGGGGACCGGAAACTAATGTCGTTTTCTGACATTAAATTCAAACATATGAATTTCACTCGAGTTTTTAATTTTAATCATTGAATCAGCCTCATTATCAACAACCTTTTGTCATCCAGTGTGGAAATTTATAATGCAGAATCGATAAAAATCAATTGGTTTTTTAACAAAATATATATAGATGGAATTTTGGACATCATTCAAGCAATTCAATTAAAACAAGTCATTTTTTTTAAATTTTCACAATGCAATATTCCCTTAACTATACATGAAACTTTATATCATATTATTTTGAGCTAAAGGGGACCTAATTAGATAAATCAAACCAAAAACTCAAATATATATATATATATATATATATATATATATATATATATATTTGATGGCCAAATAATTGACGCTTGAAATAATCCTTAATTTCAAAATAACCTATATATAACTATATGTAAAACTAATTTATTAATAATTCATTTTCACTTACCTTTTGTCTCTCCATACATAGAATGGGGTACTGAAGAATGAAGGTTAGTTCGAGATTGCTGGAAACAGATTTAAATATTAATTTTATATGAATTATATTATATCATATTTAACATTTTCAACATTGATTTAATTAGTCATTAATCATTTTAAATAATAATTTCACATAAATTACATTTGATTTCTTCAAAATTAGTGAAAACTTCCTTTTAGTGACCTAATAATTACTATTTTGGAAGTAGCAATATATTGTAGCTTGGGTATATAATATACTATGCTTTACCATTTTATAATAGCTTTAGATGGTCAAAGCAACTGGACTCATCCTTACTTAAAAAATGATTGATCAATATCCAGAATTGTATTATTCACAGTGAAAAACCGACTATCAAATTTATTAGCTAGTTGAAAATAAAAAATGTTTCTGATGTAAAACATTCTAAATAAATGAGAAAGATAAGACAGATAAATAAATGAAAAATTATTCTTGATTCTTGGACAAATTTGATCATTAGAGGTAAGGCAATGTAATAGAATAAATAAAACAATTGTCAAGATTTCATAAATAAAAGTAATTTAATCATAGCTTTTCATATATAAAACCAATGAATTAAACTGGATAAATAATCATAGAAAGTGGTGAAATAGATCTTGATGAAATTCCTGTGAGAGAGTAAAGAATAGAATCTGAATTTCTAGGTTTTTCATTCTGATAGACTTGTGGGAAAAAACAAAATCGAGAAAGTAATGTTGTTGGAATGTAAGGAAAAACCATCTGAACAAAACAGAAATTAAAAATGATTGATCAGTGGCTCAAATATAGATCTTATTCATATTTTAAACTTTGAATAATTTAATATGAATACCATTTTTGTTATTCTTAAGTCGTTTGGAGGATTAAAATATCAAAGAAAAATTACAGTTATGCTAAAATTTCCAAGACATAATTTTCCTAATCAATATAAATTTACAAAACTAATAAGATTGATGGCAGATCAGTGCAGCATGACATCAATACGAAGATAGCATATATTAATATTAAAAATTATAACAGTAGGAAGTACTTATTTTCTTGAAATGAAAATAAATTTACTTAAAAAATAATTTTTACTGAAGTATCATTATATGTACATAACCACCAAGAAAAAGAAAATTATAAGATTTAGAAAAAGTGGATTTCTAAAAGATTGTTAACCTTTAAGGACAACTGCCAGGCAAAAGTATTTAAAAATTCTATGCAGACATGAGGAAAGAAAGGGAAGGATATAAAGCAAGAAATAACCAAAAGTGAGGAAAAGAAGGTAATCTAAGGGCATCAAAAGAAAATATTCTAAACATATGGAAAGAACATTTCCAGCAGCTTATAAATGAAGAGAACCCACAAATGGAAAAGACATGGATCACAATCAACACAAAACATATTGAAAAAAACAGATATACTAGATGTCTTTAGCAGGCAAGACACAGAAACAATCATTCCCGTTGGCTACGAGATAATGACCAATATCCAGCTACACTAGATATATCGGTATTATTAAATTATAATACTGATCACACTGCATGATTCAGAATGATGATGCAGGCTTTAAGGTTGAAGCCTCCCTCCCTCCAAAATGGTAAAATATAACCATGTTTATTGAAAAAAATGATCTATAAAAGTATTATTGTTCATCTTATTACATTTAATAGGACTTAAAGAATCACTTAAACAACATTTCATTTAGTGTAGGTGCTTAGTTTCTTTCTTTCTTCCAAATCAGTTATCGTAATATACAAAAAAAGTCTTTCGGGCTGAAGCCTCCCTCTCCCCAAAATTAAGTCCTCGATGTGTTAGTGCACGCACACGCACACACACAAACTATAAAATAAAATTTGTGTGTAAATTTATAAAGGCTTATATGTGCATTTAATATATATGTATATATATATATATATATATATATATATATATATATATTGAGCTTATGTGTGCACTGTAAAATATTAAAAGGGTATTTAGAGTAAATTCATACAAAAAATAAAAAATAGAAAAATTATAGTAATAATATAACATAAATGCACACACAAGAATTTATATACTTATGACTTACCTATAGGTATATAAACCAATAAATTTTTATCATTCTAGTATATAGAAAAATAATTAGAATTTTCAACAAGCATAATGGATTATAATAAATACATAAAAATACATTTCATTGAATTAAATTATTTTAAGAATTGAAAATATCTACCCGTTCACTGTTGTCTTCTTCTGCTGTGGAAATGTCAGTATATGGTGATGGAGCATCACCAAGAGAAGGGTCTGGTTTAATGTTCTGAAAAGAATCATTTAGAATATATTAATTGTTAAAGCATGTCATGCAATATGTAAACTGCTAAGCATACCTATCTATTTGATATTTATATATTTATTAAATGAGTATTTATCTAGTTAGGGTGATTATGGACAAAGAACTTGCTATAAGAGTCTTTTCTATTAAGCACTAACTTTTCTCTTTTTTTCATCCATTCCTTTTTAAAACAAAACTTCCCTTAACACCATTTCATCAAAAAATAATAATATTCAGATTTTTTTTTTTTTTTTTATGATGGTGATATTAAAATTATTTTGACTAATCTTCTCAACTATTCTTCTTAAATATTACATCAACATGGACTGAACAAGATTGCTATGGTTGATTGTAAAGGTTCAAGATTTCTTCAAACACATTATTAGGAGTTGTAAACAAACTACTTCCCTTCTTGTAGAATATGATCAATTATGTATATATATATATATATATATATATATATATATATATATATATATATATAAATACATACAATTATTTTATTAATTAAGTAAATATTTTTATACCTGATAAATAAAATAATTATTAATTGTACCAAATATTATAAAATACATATGTGTGTGGGTGTAAAGAATTTTTTATAAACCAATGAAAAGTAATTATTAGTGTTGCCCAAAATCGGTCTGATCAAGACCAAGGGCGGCTCACTGTTGCAAGACCAAGACCAGGATTGGTAAAAAAAATCGATTTTTTAAATAATAATTAAGGCAAAATAGTTACTAAAACTTGACAATTTTAGTTAATATATGTTAATAATTGGTATAACCAATATACTTTTGTATTTAACTCGTCTAATTTTTCATTTGGGCTTAGTTAGGTTTCTGCTATATAAAAAAATACAGTGATATCTCTAAGGTAATAAACTAATAAGTAACTGCAAGACTGTTGCGAGACTCTTCCGCAAGACTAAGACCATGATCAAGACTATGTTTGCAAGACCAAGACTCGTTTCGGTCTCACATTTGGGCAATACTAGTAATGATAGTTTGAGGAAATAAACATATGCCTAAAGAGATATATTTAAAAATTATTAATAAATGACAGTAGCAAATGTATGGCCACTAAGAACAAAATAACTGAATATTTCAACTGGATGAATATTTCAAAAAGTAGTTTTAAAAAATTAAGCATATAAATTATTTTCAAGTTAAAATAGTTCATCTTAAAATTACACTGTATAAATGAAGTTGCAACTAGCACATATCATGGAATTATAAAAACAACTAGCGCTATGGTTTTGACTGCAAAAAAAAAAACATAAAGCAATAAGTTAATTTAAGAGGTGGCATACAAAATATGACTCATAAATCAATTTTGCTGTAATTAAGGTATCCAGACTATGAGATTATAAAGAAAATGAATATAAAGAAAAGTAAAATTAATGCTTAATCTATGCAGAAAATGGTTGTAAAAAGTAAAGTCACAATTTTGTAACATAATTTACATTATCGCTTAATCTCTGATTTTTTAAAAATAGGAATGGCAAATATTTGAAATAGAGAATGAAATATTAAATGAAACATTGCATGATCATGTAGGATTAAAAACAATAACAATAGGCAACAAACGTCATTCAAAATATTGAGGTTTCTGAAACATCTGAAAAAATTATTAAGTTTAGATTATAATCAAGCTGTTTGATAATTATATTCAGAAAACAAGGTTTTTGATTATATGCCAATAATCTATAACAGAAATTAACTTCCCTAATTCAGTACATTACAATATATCTAGAGTAAGAGAGGAGTTGGCTTAAACCATTGAAGCATTATAAATTAATGAAATCAAAAAATGAAAAATAAATCCAGCCTTAAAACAATCATCTATGTAAAGGATGAAGGAGACCTTAAGATTCTATGGGCTATGGCATATTATGATTAGCTGCCCTTACCTCAGTTGTGGAACTGCTAGGACCAATATCTATAGGGTCACTCATCACAAACAAAAATAAATGTTAATTAAACTCCTGAGAATTTAAAAGCTGTAAAACAACTTTAAAAGCTAACGTAAATGTTTCATTGGGAAAGTAAAACTAACAGAATCAGAAATCAGCATCTACAAATTTGTACAGATGGCTAAATAACTATCTCAATTGTACACTCTAGATTTTTATTTTTGTAACTTTTAATTAAATACTACAGTACCTTTTGGCTAGAGGGCCAGCACTGACTGCTACCTGCCAATGTTTATAACCTGAACACTTATAATTCTCATAACGCATTGATAAGCATTCTCCTACTTCATATCTTCGTATTATTTTATTAAATTCTTATTATTGAAAGTGTAAACAGATACAAAAACAAATGTAATAACAAAAACAATGTTTTTATTTTACGACAAACATATTAATGAAATAATAAAAAAAAAAATTTAAAGAACATATTTACATCGAAAAGAAAAAATATCAACACTATCAACAACATATGTACAATTTATTTTCACGTTGTCTTATTTATTTTGGAGGGCAAAATTGTTTTATGCTATTTAAAATAGCGAGGAACGGGTCCTCTTCTCTGTGAACCCGCCGCCACAAAAATTTGCACAAATATGAATCGAGGTGTTGTCTGGCAGTTCCTACTTCCAGTTATGTACTTTATTTCTCCACTTCGCTGAGCCCCATAATCGTTCTATGTGTTGAGTATGAACCCCAGTTGATGGATCGACAAAATTATACCGGTGATTCACTTGGAAATGGTCATAGTTTGCTTCGTTCAGTTGTCAGGTGTTGCATCCTTTCCAACTGTCCGAATAAATGGTCGTTCCCTCTTCTATATTGTCTTTATTTGCTTGAAATAAGGTTTTTTCTTTTCTGTCATTTATTTTGACGATAAACCTTCATCTGTTTCTCGGCAAACTCCACCAAACATCCATTGCTGAGGTAAAACTCTCCCCACATGACTTTTTCGTTTAGAAAAAAGACTTTCCTCTAATTCAACCACTTTACCAGGTCCTCCATTTTTTTTTTCTTGGCCTGTATAACATGTCATTGGCACAAACCTCTCTTAGACATTTGTTCCACGTTATCATAGCTCCGTAGGATAGTTTCAGCTGCTCTTTGCCCCATTTCATCGTTGTTAAGCTATGGAACCACCCATAAATCAATTTTAAAGCTGTTAAAGACGAAATCCTCGAGCCCTCCAACCATGTTCCTTTCATTATTGAAAGTTTTGTGTCACAAGTCCTACGACAGCATCTCCATTTGGCGTTCCTGGTTAACTTCATTCGATGACCTCGTTCACACAATTTCACGTCTGCAAGTATCCCAACATTTTGAAAATATTGAATAGCCTGTTCTTCTGAAGACAACAAATCCCATATTCTAAGAAGATCCATAATATGACGAAAATAAACGAAAAAAAAAAAAAGAATAATAAACACAAAGGAGCCACTAACTAAAAACAAAAGTGACAGAAGACTGTCATGGAACTTACATACTAGACTCAAAAGACACGAACTCAACCGACGATATGGCCAACTATACAGACTACAGAACAGAAAATCTAAACTTTCTATTGAAAACAAATTACTTTCTACAATACAATCCTGAAACCTATATGGACATACGGACTTGAAGTGTGGGGACTGCAAAATATTCCAATATCAAACGCATCCAATCTTTTCAATCTAACACAATAGTAGATGCACCGTTCTATGTAACCAATAAAACCCTACACTGCAAACTTAATATCCCATTTGTCCTATACCTTGTCCCAGAAAAATTCTCAAATTTTCATCAGAACCTAGCAAATCATCCCTACAATCCTCCTTGAAGTTTGAAGCGGCAATGGTCCAGAGACCTTTTGTGAATAAGCATATATTGGAGTTTTGGCAATGGCCAGATTCTCCACTCAAGCCATGTATGTGTGATTATTGCTCCTCTGCTCAGCCTCTGCGATTGAGTATGAGGCGCTGGGATCTCCTAGAGTCCTGCCTTTCTTTCCACGAGTGGGGAGAAAGGCTTGGCTCGGAGTTCTCCTGAGGGAATGGATTCTGTAAATATAGTATAAAAGTATGTGTGTATTTTATTTGTTATTTTGATTAGTTTAGTTACTTTGTTTATATGGATTTACTTTTAGTATTATTATTTTATGTATTATTTATTGTAAATAGAGTGTGAATGTGGTCTCTGAATACCATTATAAATGTTATTAATTGTGAGAGATTGTAATAATTCTGAATAAATAAGTTTAAAGAGAACAAAACATTTCTGATAAAATATTTTGTATAAATAAAACTTTAACAAAATTTCGAGTTATGTACATATGTTATATCACAAAAAAAAAAAAAAAAAAAAAAAAAAAAAACAACCGTGGATCTATTGTATTTGAAATGTTATACTTGAAAATAGCTTTATTTAGTCGACAAATCAATTTCATAAAATATTAAAGAAAAAGTAGTAAATAATTTTAAATAACTGGAAATATATAAGCATCAAAGAAAAGAAATATTCGTTATAAATAAAAAAACATTGGAGGTCTCAGAATGAGGAAAAATTAAATTTCCAATATCTACGAAAATATCACATAGATAATTCTATGTAACGACTTATTTAAAAGTAAGAGGCATCCACATTTACATATATTTTTATATTAATCATATTTATTCATGAATATTGGAGAAATAAAAATGAACTAATTACCTTCTCAATATCTGCTACAGATCCATTTGTAAAAGGCGAGATATTTCCTTGTTCATGGCTGTCTGGTCTACAAACCAAAGGTACGGGTTGAGAGGAATCCGCTTGACCTTGGCCTAGAACAGTGCGAAGTATTGGAGTATCTCGACTCATCAAAAGACTCGATAACTTTTTCCTTCTTAAAGGTGGCATATCTGCAGTTACTACATCATAACATCTGTTTAATGTTGCACCTGTATGAGTTGATGGAACAGACTGGTTCGAAACCGAAAATCCTGTCATAGGCCATGAACCTCCTGACATCCTGCTGGAACTTCGTTCTCCTCCCGTCTTCCCATAGGCATAAGGTGATTTTGAGAATCCAGCTGGGTAAACTCCAGTGGAATGAGGAGGTGATTCTTCAGTATTGACGCTGCTACTGGCATTGGGTAGTAGTGTAGTCGATGTTGTGATAGCGTTACCCTCTTCTTCTGTCCTTTTCTGTTGCGAATTTCCATTCTCCTCAACCAGACCCTTAACTTTCAAGGCTTCTGCAACTTTTAACAAAGCAGCAAGCTGGTCTTGAGCTACGTTTACCTCTCCTCTGTACATGTACTCTAAAATCGCTTTCATTTCACTGTACCTTACATCTTTCAACACAACAACTGGATGCCGGCAAGGTAACTCAGTAAATAAGCACTGGAAATAAGAGGAGCAAGCCGCTAAGACCATTTTATGACATTTAACAGAGGTTCCACCTTCACAGGCAAGAGTAACATCTGTAAATGCTTCATTTTGCAACAACTGATCAAACACTGTGAGCAGATTTGACCTGTGGTTATTCCATCTCAAACAATACTGTTGTTGAGTAGTCATTTTTGCAGTTTTAATTTTCTTTCCTACTTCAAATATATCAATATAATTATATTCTTCTGATGTTAGATATTTTTACATCTGTAAGGGGGATTAATTTTTCCAACCTGAAACAAAATTATAGTATAAATCACAAGTATAAAATAATAATAAAACTTTAAAATGAACATATTTTAATTATTTATTATGAATAATTTATTTTAAAGAATTTAAAAAAAAAGTAACATAAAATAAGTCCAAATGTGAAGCAGCATAACATTATAAGTAGAGTAGAAAAAAAAAATTTAAAAAAGTTAATATTTGACGAAGCTTCGATATGATAATCCACCTGCATTGTAGGAGGGGGATTACACGTTAGTTTGTTTATATAAGTATGTAGTTAAAGGTGGAATTATGCGTGATTTACTAAGAATTTAAACATTATACATGTATGTTAATGCTAGTGGATCAGTGAACGGAATTAAGATGGTAATTTTTTAAAATTAATTGTTCTACTACTAAATCATTACAATTATGAAGCTAAATCGAAGTAACATAGATATTAGATTTGTTAGATGTGCTATAGCGCAGTTGTAAATGGCGTAATAAATAATAAAATATTGTTCTGGTGTCTAAAAAACAATATTACATAAATATACTTGTTTTGTTTTTTTTGCGAAATAGACATGTAGGCTAACCTTCTTCACCTCTGCCTGTCTTTGGCTATTGCTTACAATTTTCCTGCATGCAGATTACTCATATAAACGAATCAGGGGGAGTGACAAAAAATTAATTCTCCATTTTTCGAAGGGGGCCAAAGTCCTCTCCCCCCCCCATCTCTGAATTCGCTAGAGCATGAACGACTTTCGATCGACACTGATAATTTAAAATGTTTATATTTTAATATAACATATATCCGAAGTAATCATGTCTAATATGCTTATTTTATCTGCAAGACTGATAACCTTTAATATTTGAGAAAAGCGAGCAGTATTTTTTTTTACTACCATTGTTGAAGAACCATGTTTTTGATGTCAAGTTTCAAAGCCCTGATGTAGCTTAGCAAGTCCTGTAACAAGACATAGCTTACTATTGGTTGTTCGTTAATACAGAAAAGCCCATTCTTGCCGGCCGTACTGAATTCCTCTCAACCTTGGTTAAGGTATTTCTTTTTAGACTTGCTTACTATCTAAGAAAGTTTTTTAACTTTTATTATGATATTTACAACTGTATTAGTATGAATACATCAAGTAAATGTGTACAGAGGAATATTATCACATGAAACACGCTTGTTGAGAAACTACCCATTGGTAGCACTCTAATAATTTGTCTACATGAGAAGATCACGAGGCCATCTTCTTTTCAGAAGCCTCGGAGGGTTATCAGGAATCGAAGAGGAAACAAGGTTAGAAACAAGAGGATTCGGATGGTTATGAAGTTTATTATGGAAGGATAGGTATCTGGATTTGGCCAAATCGGAAACATATGGAACATTGAGGTCTTTATGAATTATTTTATTAGTGAAAAAGTAAGGAGCATTGAGGATTTTACGAAGGATTTTGGATTGTAAGGATTGGATGCGAGAGGAATTTGATGGTTTAGTGGAGCCCCATAGCTCAACTCCGTAAGTCCAAATAGGTCTTATTATAGTCAAGTATATGAGTCTTTTGTAATTAATGGGAAGTTTAGAGCGTTTGTCTAGTAAGTGTTGGAGTAGTCGGAAACGTCGAGCGGTTTATTGTCGTTTCAGTCTGGTATGAGGATTCCAACTAAGAACGTTAATGTAGATAAATGTTTGAAAGTTGTTACAGATCAATATATGTCTCAAATTTTGAATTAACCTTATATCATTGATTGACCATATGGATGATACGAAATCACCTTAATCTATAGATATGTTTAAATATGGGATCATGTTTATTGATACTCACTTAATATCAAATAAGAATAGTGTCTTGCGATTGTTTAATCAAGCGATTCAGAGTTGCTGGCCTGGCCGCAAGGGCTTATACCAAAGAATGATTTAAACATTTCTTTAATTAGAAAAAATTGATAATAATACCACAATGGGTATAACGTCATCAAAATGATGAATCGTCAAGTGTAATTCTTTTCTTTAACTTTTTTTTATTTAATACTTAAGATCATATTAAATTAAATTTTGTTATGGTGGTTAATAATAAAAAAAAAAGCTACCCTTAACAACGTTGACCTTGGGCAGACCTCCCTTTCTCTCCAGCAAAGGGCTCCCTACCACTGCTTCAATCCCCCACAAAAACCTGCTTTCTATTCATAAAAAGCCATTTTTATTCTCCTTATGTCGGCATTCGGTCTGCGGAGAATGCAAGGTGCCTATAATGAATAATAAAACGGACGGGAATAATTTTTTTTTTTTTTTTTTCCAAGTTGAAAAACATCCTATTTACATTTCATCCTTTTTACCGTGAAAGTCAGATCATCCTTTTGTTGCTATCAAGTTCTTTTTTTTTTTTTTAAATAAAAATATTCCAACTCTAAGCCATATTATGAACCTGTTTGTTGTTATACCCATTTTTCGCAAAACCTACAGTTAGAATGTATGTAATTTATAATTTGCGTGGATACACAGTACATAGTTTGACACACATGGAGATGATTCTGTCTTTAAAAAAAAATACTTTTTTTAATAATATATATTTATTGAAATTAAGATATGTATTTATTAAAAATAGAATAACTAAATGTGAATTAATATAATGGATATGGTCAGTCTTGTAGAGAAACTATCCATTGGTAGAACTCCAATAATAGTTCTATATTAGAAGGTCTCGAGGCCATCTTCGTTTCAGACGTCTAGAAGGATTGTCAGAAATCGAAGAGAATACAAGGTTGTTAACTAGTGGGTTTGGATGAGCCTGAAGTTTATGGATGAAGTAAAATATTTAACATTAAATTCATTATGGATAGTTTTAGTTGTGACAAATTAAGGAGTATTGAGGATTTTGGCTTGTAAGGATTGGATACAAGAGGAATTTTATGGTGTAGTGGATACCCAATGCTCAGCTCCATAAGTCCTGATTGGTCTTATTATAGTCAAGTAAATGAGCATTATATAGTTAATTGGAAACTTAGAGAGTTTTTCTATTAAGTGCTGAAGTAACTGGAAATGTCTAGCAGTTTCAGTTTAGCACGAAGATTCCAAGTAAGGCGTTTTTCAAGATGGAATCCTAGTTTGACGGGTCTTTGCTTTTATATGTATAGTTTAACCAATATTCGTTGTTAATATTAATTTGTTGTATGGTTTGTTATTTCAACTATTGCCCTTTATTGAGATATGTTATACTACTATAATAATTTTAATTGAATCAATATTAATTTTATGTCTGAGTGTTTAAGGGCATCTCTCTTTGTCATATGAGCTATTGCGGTCTCTGCCGTAGATTTAATATTTTTTATGGTGTGAAATTAAACTGCGATCGATGACGCATTGTCATCATGCTGTTAAGGTGTATTCCTAAAAAGTATTTCATACCGTCCATGGAAATATTCCGACGATATGATGGCATTATTATTAGGCATGTTGACATATTTTTTTTTTTTTAATACATGATGGAATAGTTATACGTGATAGCCCTTTTGACGTTTCCCGATTCCTTTGGAAAGGGTGGAAATGAAGAAACGTAAACGGGTTTTGTGTGATGTGAAGTAGGAGGGTAGAAGTAGGGTGCAACCCGCCGAGCCCGTTCAAGGTCAAGCTGTTGTTAGGGGTGAGTTTTTGCCCGCCTACCCCAGACATGTCTAGGAGACCCTTTTTTTTTTGCCTCCTCTTCCGTGTAGCGGCTAGAGAATTCCTCGGATTTAGGCAGAATGGAATAGCTTGCCTACGAGCCTTGTTAGGTCGATAGTGGATAGAGGATCGTCTATCCCGCCTTAGAGCGTCTCGGGCTGATGTTACTAAAAGTGAGTATAAACCGAAGTGAAGTATTTAAAAGCTCAATATCCAAAGCACTAGCCAATTTTAAGCAATTTTCACTCAACCAGGACTTACATGCATGTATTCTGTATTTATAATTTGTTATAAAGTCACAATAGGACCAGCTAAACAAACTACTATCATCAACAAATATCTCGATCCTGAGAAGCATTTAATATTATTTAGATAAAATACGTTACATTAGGGCTTTTATTATGAATTCATAATTAAATGTTTTGATCTCGATTAATCCATAATTAAAAATACATATTATATTTTTCTAGCCCATCTCTATTATTCTTTTCATTATTATCAACATTTATTTGTCTGCATACGTAGCAGAATGTAGGTGTTTATCCTCCTTTACTGTGTACCAAAATTTTGCCCGTTGTAAGTCCAAGAACAAGACCGCCTAATAGTTGCAAGACCCAGAGTGGTCAAAAACAAAAAAAAATCTAATTTTTCATTCGGAGTTTTGTTAGGTTTTCCCATTATGAAAAATGACGGCCATACATCTATAGTATGTAGTAGTAACATTTTTTATAATTTTATGAAATTCCCGATGAAACTGTAAAGAAAAAAATCGTCTAAATCGGACCAGGTTTAGCGACGTTATAGTATATTGAATTTTATGCACTGATTTTAATAATTGTTCACTTGCCCGTTTGCATTGCTTTAGTTCGTCAAAGGAATTGTGTTATAATGATTTATCTGATCGGGTATCAGGAAAATTAGTCTATTCATTTGTGTGTAAATTTTAATAAATATATTTAAAATTGGGAAAAAAATCCTTTAATGTATTGTCAACTTAATTTTATTAATTAGGTAGGACTTCCCTATGTTTATATAAATAAAAGATCTAAATGTACCTATTCTTTAGCGTTTTTCCAAGACCTAAAGAAACATGGTTAATAAACAGCAATATGTT